ACTTTACATATGTACATATGTAATATATATATGTATAAATATCCATATAGATAAAAGGTATTTTAATTTCCTTTGAAACCGTAAAATTAAAATCATTTCAAAACATTTCGAAATATAAGCTCTTGAAAATAAAGGGCGAGCCACACCCACTTGTTCTCTTTTTCTAGCTCAAAGGGACCAATTCTTTACTTGATCCTGTATGATAATAGATCATTCGATACGCTTATGAGCCTAATTCCTTTATCAAAATTACTTACTTCGCTTTTTCTTTATTAAGGACTGTCGGAAGCGTTGAAATACCAGAAGTAGAAGATTTGTCAACAAGTTTCTTGGAAGGTATGGAGGAGCTATTGCCAGCAAATTCCACCATGGTGGAGGACTTGGATACTCAACCTTCATGTTCTTCGGGACGTTCAAGCGGAAGGGCAACTAAGCGACGCGCCGATGCCGAACTGAAGGATACTTTTGCCAAAGCAATGGAAGAATGCGTTGCCTCAGTATCTGACCTTGCCAAAGTGCCACAAAAAAATTCAACGTTCTCGCTTTTTGAATCCTTTGCTCAAAAAATAATAGATGCAAACTTATCCCAAGCCGATGTTAATAGAATAGAAGCAAAAATTATGTTGGTACTGCATGAGGAATTGGCGAAATGTTACAAATGAACTAGTAATAATATTTGGTATTAAATTGATTGCTGTACTTATAAATAAGTCGTGCAAATTCTTAGTTTTTTGTCTAAAAATTGTTTGTATAAAACATATTTTCAACAAAATTGAAAAGTAATACAATAAACTAGATTTATTTAAAATATGCTAAGTAATACATTTTAAAATTTTGCAAAAAATGTGTTTTATATAAACGATTTTTAGACAAAAACCTAAGAATTTCCACGACTTATTTATAAGTGCAGCAGTGAATTTAATACCAAATATTATAATTAATTCATTTGTAGTGCAACAGTGTATTTAATACCAACATATGAAATGTAGTTTAGTTTACTTATAACATTTCGCCAATTTTGAAGTTCCTATTTATTTGTCCAACAATATTTAATACAAAAATATTAAATATAATTTTCAGTTAATTTTTATTCAGTTTATTTATTTTGTTTTTAGTTTACTTGTATTTTTATAGTTATTAGTTTATTTATAACATATCAAATATACATAGTTATTGCCTTATTTATAAAAATTAGTAAAATTTGATGTACTGGCCGTGACAACGCGATAGCGCAGCAACATTTTGATCAGTTTTCGCTATTTTTTGTTTGTTTAATGCTCATTAATTTTCTATAAAAGGTACAGCTGTTTATTTAACAAATACCATATAAATCGAAATTTTAAACTTTGTAAAAAAACTATTAGAATTTCTAGAAAAATTTTTGGTATGCAATTTCATAACTTATTAAATTTTAGTATAATACAATGAAAGTTTTAAGTTTTTCAAAAATCACATTGATTTTGAGATCTTTTTTTTTTTTGACTGTATTCCATGTGATACGGTCAAAATAAAAATTATCTAGAANTTTTTGTTTGTTTAATGCTCATTAATTTTCTATAAAAGGTACAGCTGTTTGTTTAACAAATACCATATAAATCGAAATTTTAAACTTTGTAAAAAAACTATTAGAATTTCTAGAAAAATTTTTGGTATGCAATTTCATAACTTATTAAATTTTAGTATAATACAATGAAANTGGATATTTATACATATATATATTACATATGTACATATTTCGAGAAAAACGAAATACCAAAGTAATGCCATTTTTTATAAAGATTAACTATTACTACATTTATACCTTAGCTATTTGCAGTGAGNTGACTGTATTCCATGTGATACGGTCAAAATAAAAATTATCTAGAAATCTACTCGATTTTTTAAACACTTAAGACATTCATTTTATTATACTAAAATTTAATAAGTAATGGAATTGCATACCAAAAATTTTTCTAGAAATTCTAATAGTTTGTGGAATATTTTTATTTTTTTTGCAAAGTTTAAAATTTCGATTTATATGGTATTTGTTAAATAAACAGCTGTACTTTTTATAGAAAATTAATGCCTAGTGCGGGTGTTTATCCAGAAAACGAAGCCTAACCACTTAACTATAAGCAAAATATATATATGTGCATACATTTTGTTTATAGTTATGGGGTAAATATTTTTAGGCTCCGTTTTCTGCATAAACATCCGCAGTCTAGTAATGAACATTAAACAAACCACAAATACAGAAAAATTATCGAAATGTTGAGGTGCTATANGCTATCGTTTTGTCCCGGGCTGTACTTACATATTTATTTGACAAGAAGTGTATGAGTATGTTATAAATAGAATTTGAAATTAAATTAAATTTTAAATCAAATAGAAACAAATGAAATTGAATTTTAATAAGTACAGTGGTAAAAGATACAACACTGAAGACACGCTTAGCAACAAATCGGATGCGGCGTCCTGTATAAATGAAATAGATTGAGTATTATCGCAACTTTAATAAAGGGGAATAGTTAATCTTACCCCAATTATTAAATAGTATATCGGCCAGTGTGTCTCTACTCTAAATGCATCTGCACACGACCGCTTCGCTTGGGCGATTCTGCAAGAAGGCTGCCCAGCTTGGGATTCCCTCCAAGTCCCTGGCACCTCAATACCATTTTCGAGGTGGTCCACGAGTTCTTCATNCCTGGCACCTCAACACCATTTTCGAGGTGGTCCACGAGTTCTTCATTGAAATATCCACTCTTCTTATCGAGCATTAGATAGTTATGCAGCACAATTGTCGCTAACACAATTTTATCCACATTGTTTGGTGATGCGTAAATATTCGTGTGTAGAATTCTCCACCTGCTAGCCAAAATTCCAAATGAATTTTCAATATACACACGAGCAGGAGATAATTTTTTGTTGAAGTTGTCCTTTATAGCTGATAAGTTCCGGCCAGGATATGGACGCATCAAGTTGTGTTTCAGTGGGAATGCATTATCTCCCACAAAATAATATTGGAATGTTGTCTCTGTTCCTAAAATATTGAAAAATGTAATTAACAACAATATAAAAATATATGTACATATGTATATGTTTACGGAAAATTATAATTACCAGGAATTGCATTATCTGGCGGAATATTTAAGAGTCCTCTTAAAATCATTTTGCCAAATGAACTACGTGAAAAAATTCCACCATCACTCTCGCTTCCCATCGCACCCACGTCCACAAAAGTAAACGTGTAGTTGGAATCGCAGGCTGCCATTAGCACGATACTATACGTATTTTTATAATTGTAAAACAACGATCCGCTGCGTGCCGGGCAAACTATTTTTATATGTTTGCCATCGACCGCTCCATAACAATTCGGCATTCCCGTTTTAAAGTAAAACCTTTACGAATACAAAACAAAAGATTCAACTTCAACATGGAAGCCTAGATGGTCACTACAAACCTGTCTGATATTTGTTTCCATTCATGCTCATGGGGCTGAGCGACGTAGACGTCATGCAGTTCTGTCCATAAGGCATTGCAAGTATCGTAAACTATCTCCCTTACTGTCGATACCCCCATTTTGTGCGACCAGGAGAGGTATTGTGGGCTGCATCCTTGCGATAAGTAGCTAAAATGGACACATTTTTATTGAACCATTACGTTGCATTCGTGACTAAGATTACTTACACCAGTGTCAGTGCCAAGCGAGTTTCTTCATTTATTGGCGCTCTTCTTGAAAAACGCTGTAGTCTTTCTTTTATCAATGTCAAAAGAGTTTGAAACTTGGGAACACTCATCCTAGTGGCTTTGAAAAAGTGCTCCTCGTCCTCCAGCTTAAGTTGTTGAAAACATGTTCCATGGAACCCAAACTCATTCCTGGTGAGGTTTGCAGGACGCACCCACCACCTCCTTTTCAACCGCTTGCTCGCCTCGATGTACATCTCGTACATTGTGCTCATTATGCACATAATTTTTATTATCCGCAACAATCTTTCAATATTGGACATTCTTGCATGCACTCACAATTAAAACAAACGAAAACGAAAAGATTTTACTACAAAATTAATTTTATTATAAACCACAAAATGTCAACTAAAAACCGTTCCGGCGCAATAGTGTTTACCGTTCCCGTCGCAATTGTGTTTACCCGTCCGTAATTTCCCGACTGGAATGGATCAGCTGTTCGCCACCCGTCGGCCCGTTACCCGCTATCCGCTGCAATTCTGTTTACGGCATGAAACTTCAAAATTTCGAAATTTAAGGACGCTAATTTACTCAAAAGTGATACACCCCGGCTTACCATGCATCGGTATCTTTCGGAAAGGTGTGAAACATATATTTAATACTTGCGCCGGGTATCTAATGTACGGCTCTGCCCGAACTTAGACTTTCTTACTTGTTTATAATAATTTCAATTAGTGGAATCACGGACGATAAAGGTATCAGATTTGCTTAATTCCCGGGTGACCTCTTGGAAAGGTTCACCTGCAATGAATAGCTTGTAATTAGTTTTTTTATTAGTTAGCTGAGCTTGGCTTTTCCTAGTTGCAGGCAGTCAAGATTAATTAGTCACCGCTGTCGGTACCATAAGCCATCAAATCCGTTTTCTTGTTCCATTCCATGCGCTCAATGTGTTCGATATATTTTTTGAGGAACTTGTACAATGTTCGCATTCGCAAAAGCTCCGCATTGATTATTGCGAATGCCAAAGCGGATGCGAATGTTAAAATTTATGCGGAAGTTCCGCGGTTGCGAATGCTAATATTCGCAACAACCCATGTACATACATACGAACGCATGCACATTACTCACAACCAGTGCACGGACTTTACCACTTTATTGGTAGATCTACCAACGTTTTAACTGTTTTTTATTTTCTACCGTTTCTACCAACAAAGGCTAAAAATCTACCAATATTTTCCCGAAAGAAAGCAAAGAGATTTAAATGAACACCGTGTATACATTAGGCTGGGTCGATTTTGTTTGGGGGAAAATAAAAGTCATTTGACCGCATTGTAATAGTAATTTTATGATGTCTTAGGTCTAAGCCAATTGTTATTAGCCAAGAAAGATTAATTTAAAACGTATCTTTAGCCCGCGCAATTGAATCAAAGTGTATGAATTTTGAAAATGAAACTTTGGCTTGTAATATCTATGGAATGCGTTATTGTTATAAACAGGACGATATATCAAACTAAGGGCTATTAAATTTAGTACCTCACGTTCATTTATCATTTTTCAAATAAGTCTACGCGTTTTTAAGATATTAAGATAAAACTTACAAAAACTATAATTTTCCCATATGAATTTTCAATTCTTCATTATTTCAGCAGCCAAGTGAAAAATACCAAAAAGTGAGACGATATTTTTCAAACGTTTTAATGTTTTTGGATGTTTATATAATATCAAAATGACCATGGACTTGGTCACGCCGGTTTGGTCAGTTTTCAAGATTGTGGTGAATGAATATATTGTCAAAGATTAGGAATCGTTTGAATTAGGGTGAGAAATACCCATTTTAAGTCCATTTATGCAGTCTGGAAAACTGGTACGGAATGGTTTCATTAGGCGCCGAAGAGTCACATTTTTCGCATTGCCGTTATATAAAAGAAGGGGACGTGCAATAAGTGTTTAGATATACAAAAATATTTTAGTTAATTCCATTATGTGAAAAAGTGTCTGTAGGTAAATGCAATAGTATTTAACATATCCTGGGAAATCCTTTTGAGGACTCACCAATTGGACGATATTGCTTTGCACTCAGCTTGAACGAAAAAAGTCACTCCCTGGCACAGTTTTCTGTAATCCGGTTCTTTCATTTAGAAGATATTTATACAATTGAAGAGAATTTTTTTAGAAATAAACTGGAAATCCACTTAAGTTTTTCGATATAACTTTGGTAAATGTTACTCGGTCGATACTTAATAATTACCAAATTGAAGGCGAGACTTAATGTTACTGATTTATGATAATAATATAATGAAAATCGTTCAGATTATAAACCAATTATTTTAAAATAAAAAAAATTGTAAACACTTTTTTTTGTCATTTTGCTGTATTTGCAATTTTTAAATTGTATGCATAAACATAAGTAAACTAATTAGTGTTTCTAGAAGTTGTGCCTGTTCAGTGTTTCCATACTCATTTGCATAAACAAAATTTTCCGCGATGATGGAAAATAATGGCTATTCTGTTAGAGCAACCGAAATTGTTCCTAAATTTGCAAAAATTCGCAAACCATAGCTAATATTAAAAAAAGATTAGAATTTTTGGAACTAGCGATATAAATGCACGCCAGCAATATTAATGCTGTTCTTTACATCTTTTGACTATAGGCCAGCGCAATTATTAAGAGAACAATTAAAATTTTCTTGAAAATAGATAAGTTTGAGATTAACGATAAGCTAAAGTGCTGCGAGAAATGATATTTGACTTTATATTTTGCGATAACGGATTCATTATCTAATAATATGCACCAACCCTTTTTACTGAACCCAGAATTTTTAACAAGAATTGGTCTTATTCGACTAGTGTGCTGTGGGTCACTTGGTGGTCGATGCGCGGGCTCTCACAATTAAAATAAAATACTAATATTTTGCAGGCTTGTTTTGGACTTCATGATACAATATATTTTCACTATTACCAAGGGATTTGAGAAAAATTACATTTTCGACCCGCCCTAGTATACATATTTTATCCTGGAACATACCTAAAATAAACATGAGGAGTTAACTTTGACCATAACCAACTGTTTATGGAAATATTTCTCGTTTGCAATACGTTTTTTGTGGGAGACTGCCAAAGGAATGATGTGCAAACTTAAATCATTTCAAAACTAATTTTAATCAAACAATTTTGAAGTGCAGAGTAATAGTTTGTTTTATTGTAAAACAGGGCCAGAATCAAGACATCCGGGATCTAATCATATTCGAATCGGAATTTTCTTTACAGCTTTTGGTAGCGAATTCGCTTTTTCAGTTCAAAATGTATTAGAGAGAAAACAGCTGTCATTTTGTTTCATTCGATTTGAATCGTGTTTCATTCGATCACGGATGCCATGATTTGGGCCCACTTTTATGTACTACATATTTATACCTTTTTTGTTGAATATTTTATTGTTTTATAAAAAAATAACAATTTATTCCAAGCCGAATTCATATAATAAGGAGCAAAAGTACAAAAACAAAAATTCCACTAACAAATTTTACCCATAATGACAATAAGAATTACAACAAATACATCATTTTGACATTAAAAATCCCCAAGGCGAAAATTTAGCTGCTTTGGTAACACCATCTTACCTGAATTAGCTTTCATTTATCCTAAATGAGTAAAAACTATACAATAATTTTTCTTTTAAAAAAATCTACCAATTTTTGTATGCAAAATCTACCAATATTAATTTTTTGGATGTCCGTGCACTGCTCACGACTAGCCTGCCAACACGCTCTTGGCGCCAGCAGTGAGTAAAGCAGACGTGGACACTTTTTCGCTCGCGCAGCATCGGAAGTGCGAACGCGGGCTAGAGAAAGGGAAAAACAGTTTACGGGAGGAAAGGTATGAAAAGTTGCGAAAAAATTATTTATATCTCCACCGACATCATGTTCATCGCAGTACGGCCACAGTATATACAGTAATAAACCTTTTTGAGTACTCCTCCGGGGTAAAATCTGATCAGGGTTGTTAATGAGAAGGAGCAGGAATTTTGTTGATTCAGAGTTGTATACAAAATTACTGTGGTATAAAAGGGAGCAACAACCGTACTATGGCAGAGTGACACTAGTCATGACTGTGTAATAGTGCCCGAAACTAATTGCAAAAGTGAAAAACATTGCTAATTATTGTCTATTATTATAGATACTAGTACAGATTATCATAGTTCAGTGTATAATTTGTTAAATTACACCGTACATGATAATGAACTGTTAAATGCTGAAAACGCTTGTAGCTTGTAGACCACTCCAACTTGGGTGTGCTTAATGGACTGTCTGGGCGGATGTGCTGACAGGCATTGGGGTCTGTATAGCTATACATACCGTGTTTTTTTTTTTAAATAAAGACTTAAATGTATTCGGAAATTTAGAATTTGGCTTGATAAATTCACAAAATTTACGTTCTTCGTAAAAATATAATCTTACAATGGACTTTTTTTTATTTTAAACTTACATTTAAGAAAACTCCATTCAATGCTATAATTACGATTTGAGTTTTCCAGTTTATAAAACACAAGCGTTAATTATGTACTTAACTATTGATATTATTTTTCATTAAGCATGAATATCGGCATACATTAAAGATGAATATTATACTTAACCTACATTTTGTTCATAAATAACACATAATTATGTATATTTTATCCTCGAAATGAACTATTTCTAATCATGAGGCGAAATTCGCCACAGTGCGCGCAAAACGAAAGCGCTGCACACAACCCAAAAGTACTCCTCGGGGACCAAATGCGAAACTGCTATGTGGCTGCGGCAATACTGACTTTGTGCACCAAACAAAGAGCGTAAAGGCCGGTCCACATAGAACTTTCGCGTTGGCTTTGGCGTTGGCGTTGGTTTGACAGAACTCAT